CACACACACACACACACGAAAATTCTGCTTATTAAGCAGGTATATTTAGGATCTTTTAATGAAGGCTTCAGTTTAGTCATGTGTAAAATAGAAATAACCAAGTATCTGTGTTGATTTGCAAGACATTTTAAATCCCAAATACCAATTGCAACAAATTACTTACGGCAGAAGGTGTTACTCCTCCACTCTCCCATCTGGATCCCGGCATTTTGGCAGGCAGCAGCATAGACCTCCAAGATCAGGCAGAGGGCCTTCTGAGGGTCATCATTAGAGCACAGATCAAATATGCTCACTGCTGTTGAGATTATAGTGTAGTCAACAGCTTCCCGGCACAGGTAGAATAGATTTTGTGTTGACCAAATGTACTCATGCAGGTAGATCCATGGACTGGCTACATTTTGTATCTGTTCAGCAGAACAGTGTGGGCATGCATCACCACAGTCTGCTGTACACTGAGCTTCCTGATCAGGAACTCTCCAGCTCCAGCCAAAGGTGGTAGCATCAACAGCCTCACCCTCTGGGGTCTTGAGGTCATCTTCTTCGATGCCATTATTATTCCCACACATACCACAGACTTCTGTTGTATTGGAGAGGAGGATAGCGGCAATATGAGAGCAGTCATACTTAATTTGGACGCCCAGACTTATATCCACAACAACAAAAATACCACTTTGATAAATTTTAATGAGTCCAAACTGTAGAGTCACAGGCAGTAGCCTTTTCTCGCCATTTACCTGTTGAGAGCACAAACACATTTGTATATATTTAAAAATGCATTTTAAGTGTTGTAGTTTCAGTGCATCTATGCTGTGAAAAACCAGACTGTATATCTAAGTCATCTCGAAGAAATCCTTATGATAAAATGTCAGTCTACGACAATTTATAAAGTAAAAAAAAAATAAAAATAAAAAATTTAAAAAAAAGGGCAAGGATGGTAAGACGTCTCCAAATTCAAACTTACCCAAGCAGAGTCTTTTTTCCCTCTGTAGATAGTAATATTGTCTTTAGCCACTTTGACATGAATAGCTTTCAGAGAGGAAGCCTCGTTGTGGGTCCTGTCTTTCTGTACACCGACCCATAATGTTTTATTGTCAATCATATGGATCAGAGTGTAGGTACAGTTTCCTTGGAATTCAAACACTTTTCCATCAAAAGTGTAGAAGTGGGCACCGCCAAGGACCCAACACTGGGTTTGCTGAGGTTGGACACCACAAGTTTCTCTATTCTCACAGGTTTTAGAATTATCAGCTGAAATAAGAAAAGGGGAAAGTATCAGATAATTGCTGTTTAGGTAGAGATACTTGCAGACAGTCAGCTCTTTAAAAATCTTAACTAAATGTAACTGCATTCAATTATTTGTGTATTATGAGGACAGGTAGAATTATAAAGTACATAACTTATTGACAAGCAGTGCAACCATGCTCAACCCTAGGGCAGAGAGGAAATGTCCAAGTACATAATGGACTATTCAAAGTGGCAAAGGCTTAACCTAATTTTAAGCAAATAACAAGACAGACAACAAAAACACCTAGTTTTTCTGTCAAGGCTGTTTTGCAAACTCACACATGCCACAAGTGAAATAAAAATGTTATCGTACAAGACCCATGAGTAACAGTTAGTCAGTGAGGAAATGTCACCCAACCCAGCAGAACCAGCTGGGCCTACCTTTCCTTGCACAGCCCCAGGTATTGTTAAGGGTGCAGCTTTCTCCCTCAGGGCAAGAGGCTGGCTCACAGAACATGGTGGCGGTGGCAGTGGCAGAGCAGTTACACCGCTCAGAGCATCCCTCAGCCCAAGACACCTCACCAATCTATAGAGAGTAGTGAGTCACTGTTGGTGTGCGTTACTCAACACCAAGCAAACAAACAAATAGGAAAACCCAAAGGCCTGGGATTTTGTGATTAGTCATTGCCACACGTACAGGTGAGGCATATGCACGTTTGGCCTTAATGAGTCATGCAATTAAAAGTGCATGGAATAACAAGGGCATGTCACTTGTTAAGGTGGACTGTGTCAACATGTTCATAACTGAACCAGCAGTGGGGTCACATGTAAATTTGTAATAACAGTACACACCCTCAGTGAACCAATAGGTTAATCAGAAGTCAAACGAAGCTGACATTTTGAGGTTAGATCACATGATAAATATACAGGTTTACTGGATTAAGAGACATCACTGATTACCATCATAAGGGAAAACGTATTTGCTAAATAATGTGTAGTTACTCACCTCATAGTAGTGCCCATGGTAGAAGCAACCACATTTCTCAGCTTTGGTGCAGCCATTTCCACTCTGCATGTATCCAGAGTCACATTGACATCCCTCATAACAGCCCCACGGGCAGGGGACATCAGATGGAGTACCACAGGACTCAGGGCATGCACTGACGCATATATTGTAGTGAGAGTTTTCAGGGCATGGAAGCGCTGTGGGAGTTGGACAAAATGGTTCATATACTGTATAGAGTCCAACTACCTGCCTTTTATAAATCTGGCAACTTCACTGTATTGAGTTTGCCAGAGTTCTACGAATGCAACAGAAGCAGAACATAAAACTATAAAACATTTGCATAGGTAAGTCAAGATAAATAAATACTCACAGCACTTCTCACCCCTCCATGGTTTGACCTTAGCTCCTGCCTCCTGGCATGCAAAAGTGTATGCCCTCAAACTACTGCAAAACAAGTCATGATTCCCATTAGACATACACAAGTCATTCACACAGTTCTGAAAGAAAGGCTGTGGGTCCACAGTGGTGAGGCATCCACTAAATGCTTTTGCAGGAGCAAGCAGTATGCCACAGAGGTTATCAGATGCTAATTCAGCTGCCATGGTAGAGTTGCATGCTGAGCAGAGATCAGATTCTTCTGAGCAGTTTGTTCCCAGTGGCGAAAGTGACCAGGAAGATGCAAAGATGGAAACATCACTTGCAATGCTGCCATTTGGGCGGTGTTTGTCATCTGTATTAACAGCACTGATGGTTCCACACAAGCCACACATTTTTCTATGGGAGGCAGGAATCACTATTTGGATCAGGTTAGGCCCTCCATAAGTGACAACAACTCCAGTGGCTAAAACACCACGAGTCAGCGAGCCCGAACGCAGTATTGCCATGTGATCCAGCTGGATGGGAAGACCCCACAAAACACCATCAATCTGGAAAATGAAAAATGTTAAAGTTACAATCAAGGCCCACTAAACAGATGTTTGTAAATGTGCAACTCCTTACCTTTACTTTTCCCAAATGCTCAAACTCTAATGACATGTTTACTCCATGGACCCTGAGATACAGCTGTCCTCGCTGAATAACAACAGTTGGGTCAGACTCTTCCTCCTCACAAACCTGGGAAAGAACATAACGGCAGCTTCCCATATTAAAGTCAAAGCTATGTCCATCATACCTCCTGAAGTGTGTGCCACCCATGACTGCACATTTAACAGGCTCTGATGCATGACATGCCCTGTGGCCATCTTGGATGGCACATTTTGTTCCATTTGGACATGTGTGGTTTTTACATTGCATTTTGTTGTGGCTCACACAGACACAGTGCAGCTGACAGAGCTCATCGGGGTAGAAGTGCTCATGGATTTCATGGTAAACATCACTGTAAATGCAGCCACACTCAGGGTTTGGTACACATTCCCCACCACTGTGAAAAAAACCAGGGTTGCAGTCACAGCCCTCTTTGCATTTCATTGCTTGAGGACTTGGGTTTTCTACACAGTCAGATGTGTGACTGGAGCATAGGTGGTATTCACTATTAGGTGGACAGGAGAGATCTGAGAAGGAGAGAGAAAAAAATATTCAATTCAAAATGTTCCTGTTATGTACATATTCAACATAAAAATAATGAGATTTCACTATGGTTACTCACCACAAAAGTTGGAAGCCCTCCATTCATCCACTATAGCTCCCATTTCTTGACATACAGACACATAGCTGGACAGAATCAGACACAGGGTAGTCTGGTTATTGTAACAGAGGTCATGAACACAGTTATCGTAGAAATCTTGTGGATCAACTGTTTTGTGGCAGCTCTGGAATGCTCCTTCTGTATCCAGTAACCGTCCACAGTAATCTTTTCCCTGATAAAGAACCATATCTTGCGAACTGCAACCCGAGGTGTTCGTAGGCAAATCCACACATTCATGTTCACTGCTGATTTGCCAGTATCTAATGGCCTGAGATATATCAGATTTGTCGTCTGTCATCAAATCATCTTCTGGATTAGCATTAAAGTTCCCACACAAACCACAGAGATTACCAGAGAAGATCCTTGGCATTCGAACGGTCAGGACATCAGGGCGGTGCGTCACAATAACGCCAAAGTCAGTCTCTATACACTTTGCGAGACCAGTCATGTAGAGCTTTACTTTGCCTTGGTTCAACACAGATGGAAGACGCAGTAGCAGACCATTTACCTGAAACAAGTGAAGTGAACACTAAAAGCTAGGGAAAAAAAAATCTTACATTTGTCTAGATTTACTGTGGCAAATAAATGGACCTACCTTAACTCTGTTAGTCCAATCATGCAACATCTCAATGGAATAACCAGAAACCACCATTTTAACACGCCAAAAGGAAACATTTGTAGCATCCCTCATCTGGTTCTGGACCTCCACACTAAAGTCATCTAGGTCACCCCAGGTGGGACAGTGAGAGGTGAGTAGGTAAGTACAGTTGCCGTAGATGTCAAAGTTACGCCCATCAAAGGTAGTATAATGAGGATCTCCTTTGGCTATGCACAACCCAGTATCATCCATGTGACAACCCAGGACTCCATTCAGAACCTTGCACACTTTACCATCCTGGCAATGAGACGGAGCACACATAACTATCTTGGAGTTAGGCTGGCAGACACACTTCTCCTGGCACTGTCCATCAATCCAGAAGTTCTCCTTGGGGAGATAGTAGGAACCTTGATGATAACAACCACACTTGCTATGTGGTACACAGTTCCCACCACTCAGCAGAAAGCCCCTGTTGCATTGGCATGTCTCCACACAGGGCAGGGTGCAATTACGATGGGCCTCTGGGTTACCGCAGGTAGCAGGGCAGGCAGAACCACAGATCTCATAGTGGCTGTTCATAGGACATGCCACAGCTATTAAAAGGAACAATATACTCATTAGCATTTTGTCAGCAAACCCCATTGTTATCACTTTAAAAAAAAAAAAACATTTAATACTCACAGCACTTGGCTATGGTTCTCCAGTTTTGCACTCTGGCCCCAAGCCTCTGGCAGATGTTGGCATAGGCAGTCAAGACATTGCACACAGAAGAGGCAGTTTCTGTAACGCACAAATTGTTAACACAGCTACGAAAGTAAGGCTCAGGATCAATATATGCGTGGCAATGTGCAAAAGGTCCAACGCTCCTCTGCAGAAGAGTGCATCCAATCATGCGGGAACTGCTTTTGACACCAGGAAAAGATTTGGTTTGGCTTTGAGTGCACACTGGACATGAGACACCACCACTGCACTCCTCAATACAGGAGCCAGAAACACTGTCCACCACCCATGGGAGGATAAAATCCACAGTTTTAGTCTTGTCAGTGTCTTTAGAAGCAATTACATCATCCGAAGAGCTGCAATTAGCCTTTCCACACAAACCGCATAGGATTCCATACAGCTCTGGGGCAGCTTCAACCTGGAGATTGTGTTCCCAGTCATACTGGAGAGTCAGGCCAAAGGTAGTTTCTAAGACGACATTGAAGCCACTTGGATAAAACTGCAGGGACCCATTCCCCAGGGTGAGGGGCAGGTTTCTCTTCAGTCCGTTAATCTATGGATTAAAAGCAAGAAAAGGGCAATGTACATGAGTGCTTAACCGCAACAAAAAGTGTATGTTTAATTTAAAGTACACTCACCCTAACATGATTTTTGTCTCCTTTAACTATAGAGATATTAAAGCCCTGGATGGTTATCTGCACCATGTGGATGGTGGAGACACTGTTCAAATATGCTCTGGCTATATTAACCTGTAGTGGAACAGAAGCATTTAAGCCTGGACAGGCAGTTTGAACTAAAGTGTAGTTACAGTTTCCCTGTAAGACAAAATCTCTTCCACCGAAGGTGCGGTAATAAGAGTCACCCCATGCAGAGCATATTTTAGTTTCCAAAGAACAGAGTGGTTTTCCATCTTTGATAAGGCACTTCCGTTTGTGATGACAGCGCCAATCTTCACAAGAATTAGTTGCTGAAACAAAACAAAACAAAACAAAAAAAATAAATAAATTGTATTTACTATATGCAACTGTTCCACAGATTCACAAAATGGTACACATGTAATGTAAAGTCATTCTAAATACATACTTCTCTCACATACTGCTGGATATAGTCGTCTGTTCATGGTACTCAAAAGGTGTCCCACACCTGTGTCTTTGAGAGGAGAACTGGGCTCTGCATTATCAGGCAGCTGAGCAACCTCGGGCTTCTGGGAGAATTCAACACCAGACTCATAATTCCCTGTGTGAGTACTGTTATCTCGCTGCTCACTCATATCACCTGACTCAAACATAGGTACAGTCTGACAGATATCATCAACAGATGGCAGAACTGTTAGAGTTGAAGGACACAATGCATTGTCATGTCTGAAGTAAACAAGTTGAAGAGGACTGTCACTAGTAATGTGGATTTTATCTGAGGTCAAAACTGGGATGACCTTCATTTTACCACCAACAAGAGACACGCTCTTTTGCCCGGTGCTGGTGGTGACATCTATGTAAGAGCTGATAGCAGCCATTGCCAACAGGAAACTGGAACTCATTCTTGTGTTTACCAAGGGAGGGATAACATAACCAAAACTCCAGTGAGAGACTGCTTTCAATTCAGCAAATCCATACAAGCAATCCCCACGTGTGTGTTTGGAGCAGGTAAAACCAACCACAACACCTACAGCTTCTTGCGAGTTTAACTCTGAGCCAGAGAGGCTGGAGTTGCTCTGGAGGTAAACACTCTGCAGCACCTCTATATGCAACTTGAGGACACTACCCCTGGGGTACACACTGCCTTTAAAGAGCACTTCCCCCGAGAGGAAGATATCCACCGATGTCTTGTGGTCTGAGCTTGTGATCACCATCTGGCTGACAGCCGTCTGGTTAGGGAAGTGAGGAGTAATGGGGTAGTAGGTTGTCCCCCAGGAGGACACGTCATGAAGGAGGCTGTGGTCACAACCTATATGGGTACAGAATGAGGCAAGAACCGTAACAGGCCTTATAGACGTCACACTGAGGAGGTAGGAGGAGCGATCACCTGTCAGCCCCACAGACAATGGCAGGTGAATGGTCTTTGACTTGCTAGCACCGAGGACGATGTGTTGCATGAAGTTGCTTTCCAGAACCTCCACAGTGACTGAGGTCCACTGAACACCAGTGGCTGTGATTGTTACTTGATGGCTAATATTTGCTGTTGGGTCATTATGAGGGGGAAACATCATCAGAAACTTCCTACCAGGCCTGGCCCCCGACAGACCTGCAGAGAATATACAATTGAGTTACACTCATTATTCAGTATAAAAACACTTCAATATGCTCCCACATCACAACTGCAGGATGCTCATCCAGCGTGAACAACATTTACAAACAAAGATGGACTACAGCAGTTGATTTTATGACAGCAAGCAACACACTTGCACTGAAGTGATTACATCTATTCACAGAGCAGGGAGAAAGTTTCCAGTGTGCACCACAAGTGTTCTTGTGTAACAGAGATATGACTGGTGGTGTCAGATTTCAACAAGCGCAGCAGCCAATGAAGAACATAGTTTCTAGTTCCTGACTGAGTACACCTGTGTTACCGTGCACCCTCTCTCTGGCAGTTTTCATGATAACAAGGATTTTGACGTGGGAGCAACAACATACCAACAGTTTAGAGACAACTCTGAACAACAGCTCATTTGAATGTAAGTTCACCTTTCAAATGATTTATCTTAGTTGCATAAAACTAGTGTATTATTACCTACATGCTGATTGACTTTTTGTACATGTTTATGTTGTATGGACTGCCTTTGTAAACTGTAGTAATATGGTTCATATGGAACAAAACCTGAGGGGTAATATTTTTTAACTCATGAAAAGCATTGCTACAAAAAAGGCAAACGTTTGTTGGTGGGTGATTTTACTTATTTATTTTTTTAACACAATGATGCCTTCGAACATCCCATTTCTCAAACCAATTACTGGATAATTCCCTTCAACAGTTAACAGATTAGTCTCTTTTGTTGTTCCAGGGGCTGGGACATGACCACACCCCATGCATCACTCAAAACTAGACAAATAGAACTTCTCAGCTACACAGAAGAAGTGTTGAGACTTAAGTGTTGCAGGTGAAAGAGGAAAAACCTAACGCTAATGCATGTGTGCTGCAAATATTGAGGGGTGGGGGAAGTTAAAAATGGAGATAGCTGAGTGAAGAAAGGACTAGCTGAAAAAAAAAAAACTACTCAGGTCACACTGTGATGTTTGTGCACGTGGCCTTTTGAATATATAGTTTAATTACACCCCAACACCTACAAACAAACAAACAAAAAACATGCCACTTACCAAGTCCCAAAAGGCACAACTGGAGCAGCAGCACAAACTGCATTTCTGCACCGACACAGCAAACTTACATGAATGGGACAACTGTATTTTGTTTCCCCTGATGGATTTTAGACTATCTGCATGCCTGGGGGGAAAAAACGAAGAAACTTATTGATAGGCCAGCAATACCAGCCGGAGAAGAGGGAAAAGATGGCGTAATAGTGCACCTGAGCTTGATAAGGCACGAGCCTGTCACTCAGTGCGCGTGGACGTCATCATTTGCCGGCTAATTAGGATGCAGCTGCCAGGTGTTTGACATTACCGCTATTAGCGGTATAAATGGTCGTGTTTATGCAACTTCTGGTCCATTTCAAATAAAAGAATTATCACAAATCACGACTCAACTTGACCGCAAATTGCGGAAGGCTACCTTATTTCACATATCACCGCTTTACATGAGTGTAATTCATGTCCTAACGCGCAGTATATCAACCTCACAGTTTTTCAGGAAACTGTTGTCACTGCAATTTCTGAAGAGACATACGAGGTATTTTCCGAAGTACTCGACTGAGTGGCAAAGGGCATTTCATAGCAAAATGAGGTGGCTGTGAATCCCCTTGTAGGTTAGAATAAAGTTGCCCTGCGAATTTGGCCCACACAGTAGACAGCTTTTCCTGTTAACACGTCGGCTCGGCTGTGGCTCATCGACCGGCGTAGACAGTGCGTCAAGTTTCAGGAAAAGACACGAAGAGAAAGACTGAATGATATGATTTTAAAGCCTTCATTCCTACAGACGGGGAACACCTTTTTGCGATAGAGCTGTCTTTCTCCTGTATTGGTAGGTTCCTTGCTATTTTAAGTGTTGTCAGTGCGTGGCTGTAATGTAATAGTAACCCATTAACATACAACTAATAGTCGGGTTTTTTTAAGTAAGTTTTTTTCTAAGTCTAACAAGCATCAGCATGTAGCCTGCAGGGCAACTGTTTCATACTTTTCCCCTCTATATTTTATTTTCTCAGCTTTTGTGACTTGCTTACCAAAGTTCAACCAAGTTCATGTGAGTTGTTTATTGCCTTTATCGTTCTGAGGGTGTAACTCATAAAGAGATAATTCATCTCCAAACAACAGCAGTTCTGTCCTCTATACAGTGAGTCAATGTGACAGTAAGGTGCAGACAGGTTACACAAGATGAGGGTGTTCTTTAAAAAAAGAACTGACTTGTGACACTGCAGTACCCCTTATCTCACTTCCTGTGTCATTCACAGTCAGTACCTTAATGCCTTTTTGAACTAAATATTAGCCTGACAACAAATGACGTGATTTTTTTCTGCTGTTGTTAATCACACTGCTTGTGAAGTGAAGCAGGGGCACCAAATCTTTGTTGAACCCTTTCACAGCCTGTCTGCAGAGTTGTTGTTTTTTTCTAAAAAAAAAAACCCAAAACATATTGTGTTGCTTGTTTCTTGGTGGAGTGATGAGGCTGCATTTCAGACAGATTGGACTGTGAAAACCCTCAATGTGACTTGGACAGGTCTTGTGATAGTGGTGTTAACAAAACAAAGAACAACAGCTTTGTCTCCATCTGATTAAAAAAAAAAAGTCAAATCTGAAGTTTACGTGTTCAGAGTCCTGAATGTCCTGAATCTGTTTGTTGCTGTTTCGGTCACAGTAGAGGCTGAGAATGCCGTCATTTTGGTGCAACCATAGAATCATATCTGGTTGTTTATTCACTTTACAGGTTTTATAGTTTCTTACAGAGAAGGAGGGAGAGAGAGAGAGGGAGAGAGAGAGAGAGAGGGAGAGAGAGAGGGAGGGGGGCAGGCTAATACAGGATGTGTCTTTAAGACGCTGTCATACACAGACATACTCTCATATCCTTTTTTGTAGTTTTACTGTGGGCCTTATTGGCCTGATGCTCAACAAGTCATCCAGAAACCACTTGTGTTGGAAATAACTGCTTAGTTTGAGTTTCTCAGCAGACTCATTCTGTGTTGAGGGAAGATCGCGCTCTGGTTTGCATGGTTCCAACTGAGGTATTGCTTTTATTTTATTTTTATTTTATCATTAGTTTCCTTGTTACTTTGTGGTCCAGTGGAATAGCAGAGTATGTTATGTTAAAGGGGAAAAAATGAATTTGCATTAACCTCACTTATATAAACAGCTCCTGTAGAGATGGCAGATTTGAGTAAACATTTCAATAAGAATATTTTCTCTCTTCACTGAACCAGAGTAAGCTACCATTCTCATAAAATTGAATGGCAATGAATAACAAATGATCCAGAGGCTTTTTTCCTCCTTTCGTCCTCACTATTTTGCCTTGTTGTTGAGCAAGTCTGTTTTAGCTTAGAAAAATATTTACAATAATTGTGACATTTTCTTTGCTAGCTTCTTTCCCTCTCTATGTTCTTGTTTCCTCTCTATACCACAGTAAGTCTAGTATCTGTCCACATTAGAGATTATCATCAGCAATATCCGAGTCATGTGTGACAGTGGTTGAGGTCTGTTGCAATGCAATCAGATATGAAAGAGATAGTGTGAGACTCTGCAAGTAGTCCTGTCCATGTCCATGTCCATGTAGTAAACCTCTGTTAGCTTGTGTTGTACTGGGTGGGCTGGAAGGAGTGGAAAGTGTTCATCATTCAAAATTAAACCTGGTAAACAAGATTTAGGTGTACTGTGGGCTGGCCTGGCCAGGCAGGTATGAGATTCAGGGCTAATCCTGTCAGTGAAAAACTGCATTGGAGAAACTGGAAGAAAAACAAGACACATGTACCTTCCAGCAACAGCACAATATATGCCTTTCTTGCTGCGCTGCACTCCAGTTTTATGATTTGTAGATTTCTACATTTACCTTCTATGATCTTTGCATATCTAGCCAGAAGGCAGCTGCCATGTCTACTTTATAAGCAAGCCACTGGTTATTATATGTTGCAAATTGGGTCTGGTATTAAACAGCAAATTCAATCGGCATTCAAATGTACAAGAATATATTACCCAATTTGAAAAATAATACAGGCGTCAGGAGCCATTTTGATACAGAGGCAGTGGACTGGGTTGATAAATATTTCCAAATTGGATCAGCTTATTATTTCACCCAAAGCGACTCTGAAAAGCAAATTGGATACAGAAGGGGATTTTATTTGCAGCTTCTTAGGTTGTTTGCGTTTGGAGATTTACTGCAGCTATTCAAGAGGCCAGAACAGCCCACACTACACTCCGTCTCCAATCAGCCTCAGTTGTGTGATTAACATCTTTTTTCCAATATAGTCAACCAAAATAGTTCTTAATGCTGTTCTGCTAATTTTGCATGAAGATAATCTGGTTGACTGGCCTGTGCTCATTCCTGTGTGGCCCTACAGGGTGGACATTTGTCTCACATGAAACCACCATGGCAGCATTTATAGATGAGATTACAGCTTATGCCCATACTTCTGATGCCTAGGTCTTTCATAAACCTGTGAAAGGTTATGAAAAAAATGAACTGATGTTGACTATTCTCCATTCTCAATTCTTAATGCCCATGTCTCCTTTCTTTTTTACATCCATACACCAAATACGGTGATTTGAGTCTAGTTGCCATATGGTGAGCATAATCTACATACTTAAATTGTAGTAATGTGTAAGTCAGTAACTGTTGGATGGCGGGTGTATGAGAGTTTCTTCCTGTCAGAGCCCTTTTTGATAATGGAGTCATTAACTGTGGAGGAAACAAGGACACAATGGGCAAGACTAACAATGAAGAGGTGCCTATAACATTTGGTACAAAGGTCAGTGGGAGAGTTCCCTATGTTCATAATATCAAACATTGCATGACTGACTGTTGGTTTCTGATCCCAAGCCAATCGCGATGGCTAAATCTGACCAATGAGGCTTCTCCAGGACCCCGAACGGAAAGAGCGGTCATTCCCATGTTTCCCCATTTAAAAATATCACCATTCATATTGTGCTGGATACAGCTGGCGCTTTGTGTGGCGGGCTAAGAACATCTGCGTTTCACATCTATGTGGTGGTGATGGGGAACGGAGGTAGGGTTTGTTTTGGGCCCTGTGCCATGAGGAAGTTGTAAGATTTCTCCTTAAGAACAACAGCTACACACACACACACAAAGAAGTCACAGCCAGTGTAAGTGTATCACTTGGTCTCTGTGATAGGATAAAGTTGACGGATAAGTATATGTTCAAGTGAAATCGAGCTCATACTTTTTCTATCCCAATTAGCATGACAAGAATATTACTTTGCAGGATATGATGAACAAAAATAATTATTTATGTGATTCCGTTTTGTTTTGTCAGGAAGACATGGGACACTTTTCTGTTTGTTGCACAACACCTGTCACCTGGCTTTTGCATAGGGAAGGGAAAATGTTGAATAGACACTTGTTGCCAGCTGACTGTGACAGAATTCTAAGGGCTTTTTTTTTTTTTTTTGCTGAGCACTATGGGAAATAAGGTTGTCGTTCATTTTCACCACCACCCACCTCAGATTACAATCTCGATTTGCATGCATACTTTTAAACCAGGTAAAACAGTACAAGGACTTGTAGGCTTGGAGTTTGGAGTTTTCCACTGACTATCAGTATGTGATCCTGAAACTCAAAGTGGCAGGCAAGCCTCAATAATGCTGCTTTCCATCACACCCTTGCTCTAAACCAAAACAGCAAGATTTCACACACATCAATGACTGAATATTAATAGCAGATATTTTTAACTTTTCTTTTCCCCCCGCAGCATTTGAAGATGATGCGATTGCTGTTCCTGTGTCTGCTGCTGCTGCTGCCAGCTGCTACTGGTATGTTCTCATCTCTGTGACGCTTTCAGGTGATAAACATCTAATCAGGGTCTATGCATCCCACCGCCGGCATGTTTTCCTCACCTACCTACAGAAGCGCACTGTCTGTACGGATAATGCACTAACTTTTGAATTATACAACCACCTAAAAGAGAAGGTGCTCCAGCGAAACAAAGTGTTCGCACGTATAAGAATAACATTAAAGGAAAGCTACGTAGAAATTAGCACCAATACTCCCAATGCTACACTTTCTTGGTAGATAAGATGCCAGAAAAGAACAGCAGATAGACTCCACCAAACCGATGTACATAATCATTTTTGTGATATACAGTCCATGTAAGCGTCCTCTGAAACCTTAAAAACTGTATTGTGAATGTATTCTAACTGTTTCTTTTTTGCAGCTTTTTCAGAAGAGGATGAAGGATCAGCTGATGGAGGTATGTAATCTTTCACATCTTTATCTGTGAAATAAAGAAAAAAAGGAGGAATTTATGAAGCCTTTCAATCAACTGGGAACAGTTGTCATGGTGCTCTCCCATGTTATCAACAATGTTACTGTAACTGGTTTTAGCTTGAAGTCATTTTAGGGACGCAAAGTAAACACATTTTGTTTAAATATCAACAGAGATCACAACCAGTAGCTACAATAAAAATATTTTTTGTTCATTTGTTTTGAAAAGAATAATCGCACTGTAATTCCTTTCTCGTGGGATTTATTTGTTCTGTTCATGTTTCTGGTACTGTTATCAGTTCCAATATTTCGTCCTTGTTTTGTCTTCAGGTAAGCTTAGTGGGTCCTTTAGGCCATGTATGTAGTAATTAACATGTCAAGGACACGGTCAAGGATCATACCAGACATGTTTGTTGACATGAACAAGTAAATTTCATGTCAAATAGAATAACTTAACATCATGGTGTAGGTTCATAATGCAGCCTACTGGACAAGGAAAAATCTACCTTTGTAATGTGTTTGATTCTCAACCATCTCCACATTTCTACTCACTTTACACACTAACACAAATGCTTTTGTGTAATCACTCTCGCTTAAAACGCTCTCATTTCTTTCTTAATGGTTTTCGTTCCTGATTTAGACTTTTGTTATCTACTCACAGTTTTGGTCACATGTTAAGGGTGAAGTTTCTTGTTTGCAGTTCTGTTATTGCCTATAATCATAGATCGGTTTGCTTTTCTGTACAATATTGATTCTTGTGTATATTTTTCATTTTGTTTGCTCTCAGACTTTTGCAGTCCTAAACTGACTTAATAAAACCTTCAATCAATAGTGTTGCTAAAAGATTAAAGGTGTTGTCTATATCCTGACTAATGTACCGTAGAAGAACTCTTACACTGTTAATATTTGAAAGTGCTCACACTGAGAAACATGCACTGTCGTTCTCCTTTATTTCACAGGTCTGGAAAATGACGATGAGGACTTAAACGGACCTTTAAAACGTGAGTTAATGACCTTAATTCCCGAGAGTGGATTTGAGGGCAGATTTTCTAGTTTCTTCTGTTTCACACCTACAAACACTGTTATTATATATGTATATTAAGTATGTGAAGGTTAAGGCCTCCGTAATTGTTGTCAGTAAGTCAGCATTATGTGTAGGGTGCTCTAGGCCAGTGAGATGTGTGAAGGGCAGTGGACCCGGTTGGCTTTCCCTCCTCCCAACCATTAAGCCCTGAATGGAATCAATTAGCTCCCTGGAGGGGCCCTGTGGATCCTGCCGAAAGGCCAATGAACAAGTTGACATCACCGCCATCCTGCTGGTCAGCTAATCAACATCGACATTCTCACTCTCTCTCCACGCCTCCCTCTGTCACTCCTCATCTTCGCTTTGATGGACATTTGGTAGAATTACAGATCTGTTTAGAACAAGGCTGCGGCCAGTCGACTCTTGACAAAGCAGCCTTTCTGCAAAGAGCTACAGTTCCTCTGAAGCCTCAACCCTCACCCTCTCTGTAGACACAAGCTTATACATACACATATACTTATTCCATTTTATTCATTTTCCCTTTAGTACATTTTATTTAACCTAAACTCAAAACAGTTACCTGATTAGCTAGTTTATAAAGCGTATAAAGTGAAAGTTGTGTTTTTGCAGAGTTTTTGTGTGTGGCTGTGCTTGGCCAGGCACGATTGGTTTATGCACAGATTAAACAAACGTGTGTTTTAATGAGCTGAGATGTTGGTTGGGGGCTTTTGTTACCTTTGGACAAAGCCAGGTTAGCTGTCATCTTCTGTTTCCAGTCTTTATGCTAAGATAATCTAGGCTGCTGGCTGTAATTTCATATTTACCATACAGACAAGAGAGTGGTATCAATCTTCTTATCTTACTCTTGGCAAGAAAGCAGATAATCACATTTCCCAAGTTGCAGAACTATTCCTTCAATCCTCTATTGAAAGCCTTAAACTTTTGGTTAGGCATGAATAGCAATGACCGTTCAAAAATCTTGATTAGACTCTTGGTGGTGTTGTTGTCCTCTGTATACAGTAGACGTGTTATGTGGTGGGTTTAAATATACTGTACAGTGCATCTGAAACATGTGTTTACTTGTTAACTGTTCTCTTTGCCATATAGAGATTCCAGATGTTTTCACTGCAGATTATCCTGGCTCACTCTCAGATAAAGCTACAGGTGTAGAAGGGTCAGGTGAGATTGAAATTTCCTTTGATTTGTGATATACAGTGAATTTCTTAAAATGTTAAAATACATATCAACAAGTAGCAATGATTTATAATGTCTTACATTGATATCAACCTGCAGCTGAGTTTCCTTATGTTTTTGCTTTTAGATCAGTTGACCATGATTATCATCATTGTAGCTGTGACCGCATTGACTCTCTCAGTTGCAGCGGTAGTCGGTAAGTATTCTGTGTTTTATAGAGACATAATGTAGTGAAATGTGAAATGGTGCCTGTTTCATTCCCACAGTTGACAAATTCCCTGCTGTAAAGCATAGTCCCTGTGGGCCTTGTAAAGCTGTTAATACCTTAAGCAAATATGAACTTTTCTCTTGTGTAGCCATGACCTTTTTCTTTTCTTTTTTTTCTTGCAGTCATAATGTTAGTAAGACGCCGCATGCACAAAAGGCAACAAGGGTAAGCTCAAATGTATTATATATTTGATTTGATATACGAATTATTTTTATATGTTATAAAATTAGTTAACTTTCAGTTGGATTTAAAGTATACTATCTAATTTTCTATAACACTCAGTTTCCTTTTTTGGCTCATCACATTTATTTTCTTCCTATGGCCTATGTACATACTGTATTAGTGGCTTACTGAGTTCCACTGCACGTTCCACTTTACGCTAAGTCAGCCTGCAGGTGACAGAACCAGTCTGGTGGGTAACAGCCTTTCTGCTGCCTTGCCAATTTCCCCTACTTCATCCAGCTCGTCAGCATCTAAACCAGAGAAAAACACTCAGGTGGCATAACGCAACCAACATCCACCCATCTGAGCCCGTCTGGACTTGCACAGCAATTAGTATCGCAGCCTGAGGCTCTGCACTGCCACTACTGAACACTCCCTACCTCTGAACCTTTCCATCTTAGCCATCAAACAATAGCCTTAAGACAGTGCCACTGGCTGTATGGGACAGGACCTGTTCCAAAGATTACCTCATGAACTTAGGTCTGAGCAGACTACTCAAAAATAAAACAATCCTGTAAACATGATCTTGGCGTCCTGACAACAATCTGCCAACAGCAATCAGACAGCAGAACAGCCTAAACCAGTTATACAGAGAGACACGCTCTTTACTTTTTGTCTCCCTTCCACACTTTTCGTGTTTAACCGCAGTTAGCTCTAGGACAGCTTTCTGCAGAGTAATCATGTGTCTTTTGTTCTGGGGTGCAGTAATACATGAACAGCAGGTTGGGTCAGACGGGTTACGGAGTTCAAATTTGTCTCCAGAGATCTCCAAGCAGCAGGGGAACTGCCATTGTGGCGCAGACACCCAAGACTATCTGCAAGGGTTAAATTCCTCCGCAGGATTACTGGCTGCCTCCTGGGGCTGCAGTCAGCTCTGGCAGTGTTTGGTGCTGACTGATCGCTCTGCTGAAAAGAGGCTTAATCACACAGCAACCTCTGGCTTGTTGGATCAACAGTGCCTTGCCAGGTTTATAAGTCCCACCTGGGGATGAGCTGTGTTTTGAGGTGATGCAGTCACCGTGCACCTGTCAGAGCCCTGCAGCATGAGGCAGACATGCCGTTTCCTGAATTCCGACACGCAGGGATGTTTCTTCTGTCTTTCTGTTAACAAACTGAGAAAGAACCTAAAAATATCATAAAGATGACACACTTTTGCTTTTGCCCTGTCTCCCCCCCCCCCCCCCCC